CATATGCCACGGGCATACGCGTCTATTGTTGACCCCAGGTACTTTCCCAGAGGTGCAATCCTTGAGCAAGTGGACGTGATGCAACTTGGCAAGAGTGTCAACTTCTGCATTGCTCCTTTCGACGGTGCTCCACTATGCAGGATTGGTGATGATCGCTCGGTATTTACTACAAGGGACCAAGCAAACCAGCTATCTCACGACCTATGCAGAGTCCTTCGACACAAGATCGGCAATTGCCGAGGAAGTGCTTTCAGGTGCGACGAGGGTGGATGGGTCGACATTGATGCTGTCATTGACGACCGGAACAACGACATATTCCCACCATACACCACGAGAGCGAAACGATACATGGGCATCATGGAGGTGATCAAGTGGCAGGAATCCGGAAGCAAGAAATCGAGATTCCAGGTTCTGGCAGCAAGGTTTCCGAGCATCATGAACCCGAACGACACGAGGGCAGCCAGGGAGGAAATGACCAAGGCTGGCGTGGATCGGGACGACATCGACAGGATGTTCAACAGATGCGATGGATGGTACAGACCTTGGTGCATCCGAGTCACAACCGGTCACAGTGATTTTGGATTCATGAGCTCATCCGCACTGGCGAATAGGTATTCCGCAAGAATGGGTGATTCTCTCGGAGGAGCATTCCATGTGACGTATGTGGAAAACCTGCCAAGCATCGTACGCTGTGGGCTAGTCCCCGGCGGAATCGATGGCGGTAACAGGCTAGCACTGCACTTCGGGGCGTTTGCTCCATGGGATGAGATGAACGTGGCGACGAAGACAACGCTACGGAACGTGAGGAGAGGGGATCCGATTGCGATCATCTATATTCCCAGTGCAACCCTCGCGCGGTATGGGGCTGGAGTCGCGGCTAATGGGACTTTCATGGTCTTTGACGTGATCCCGTTCTATGAGGTCAAGTCCATTTGGATTGGCAAAAGCAACGGAGGGAAGCGCCTGGAGTACGTGACATCAAGAGGGCGTACTCGAAGTGTGTGGAGAACGAGATCTGCCCTGGCTTTGTCAACTCTTCCCAAGAGTCGGCTGCGATGTTCCTCCAGAACGTCGCAAAGATCAGCGAGAGGATGCCGGAGACTGAGACAGGTGCCGATAATCTGCACTACATCGTTGACATGGTTAATCGTGCTTGCGAACTCTATCGAAACAACAAGATGGAAGAGTTCAACGCACAGGTCAACGAGGTCCGGGACGAAGTCAGCAAAGTCGTCATCCTGAATGATGAGACATGGGAAGGACTGAGGTGCCGGATATGTCCATCATGTGCGACCGCGATCCCCACCTGCTTCTGCTTATGCCTGGAGTGCGAGGCACAACTGATCTCCATCGGAAGATACTACATTCACATCAATTCCGATGACGAGGAGGACAACCAAAACCCCAACGTCTCTGGAGATGCCAGGCGTGCACAGGAAGAAGCTAACCACGATGCGGCAGCACAGGAGGATGAGGACGAAGCGGAGGAAGTTCCGGGAGAAGATGACGACATGGACACGCAAGGATATACATCCGGCTATGCGTCAGAGGAAGAAGACGGCGGTTGGCATTACCGCGACACCGATCTGGCGTCACGGGACATTATAAGTTCCCAACGGATGGCGATCTGCCTTGACGAGCCGCGTGAGGCTCAGTACATGGCAGGATTTATCGCACTCCAGCTGTCCAAGATGTGGGGGATGTTTGAAGGTGGTGAGGATAGAACGATGATTGCCAAGCTCGAGGGGAGAGAGGGCTGCCCTTACCACAATGACTTCAGGAGGTACCCCAACATCACTGAGCATGATCAGGAAGGTATACTTTTGCCATCAACAATAACGAAGATTTCTCAATCGGAGAATGTTCGGACAAGAGCCTTCCGATCGGTTGAGGAGCGTGACGAATATATTCGTATGATGGTGAACAAATGCGAGGGACTATACACATTCTACAAGCTGTGGATTGCAGCAAGAATCCTCGATGTCACCAGGAAGAAATGAAGCTCCTGGTCAAGGACCGAGTGCACCCGGTGGGTGATATTATTTTCAGATGTTTTGCACTAGCTTTCAACTGTAAGTATATATCATTCGTGAGGGATGGCCTAAACCTTGGCAAGAATGGTTACACGGTCAACGTGAGCGCCATCATCTCGGCCATCGACCCGAACAAATGCGACACACCCCTGCTGGATTGGTGCCTTCGGAAAGGGCACTGGTTGCCAGAGGACTACAACAAGAAGTGTGTCCGGGCACGAGAAGCCCAGAAGAACTTGGACGAGGAGTTCCGCCGACGTACCCATAGGCTGTCCATTGGGGACAGGTATGCTTCGTGAAGATGATGATTGCGGTACGATGTGGGCCAGTCCCCATCTGTTACTTGCGTCACATCGACACTGTTTCGGTGGAACGACTTATGTCATGATTTATATTCATGTGTCCAAGATGATTGGGTGTGTACATGGTTACATATTCCGATGACTATGACGCTCTGGATATTCATGGATGGAACTATTACCTTATAGATGATATCTTTTCATTATTTATGCATTGTCCATGGTATCTGGAATGGCTATGATTTGCATTGATTACTCACCGATGTTTCTTTGCCGGAGATATGCAGACCGATCACAAGCGGGCGCGCATGGTGGACATTTGTGGCCAACCCATTTATGGATGACAGCTGCGCGATGCGCAAATGCGGCAGCTGGATTGTTCATTGGTGGTCAAATGACGTGACGATTGTGTATTATATACACCTGCATATGGATGTGTGCTTCGATTGGAGGATGAATGTTTCACTTTTCGTACAATCGAACCCGGCATGTTTCACAGCGAATGAACGGTGTAGTGATAGCAAGTAAAAGAATGCACGACACGATTTCGTAGTTGAAGCCGTGGCCAGTGGAACGTTTTGTGGTGTTTGGACCGCATGATGAACAATGCGACCCAAATGGGGGATGTTAAAACCCTCTAGGCCCCGTGCCGAAATTGGGTAGCTGTTCTGAGGTCCTTGTTGGTGTTGCTTCCCAAGTTCCATTGATCGCCATTTGGCTCAAGACACAATTGAGGTTCAAGATCTGATGTGTGACTGCGGATATCCGTGATTGGCATTAGGAGGAAAACAACTGCTTGCGCCGCACTGTCAGGACTACTGTTGTGACTATCATTCCTTCTTCCTTACAACGTTTACACGGGTTCGGCTATAACGGCATCGTCCGTATACACCTTTCTACGTGGTTGGTATTAAAGCTTGAGGGTTCGGTGCACAGCGTCCCACGGGACGTCACCTTGCGTCCTCTTGACAATCCTGGACCAACAGGCATAGGCGAGGGTGGATTTTTTTTGGCCAACTAATTGACAACCGGCCTGCCTGGGCTGGGCTGGGCCTTGCTTGGGTGGGTCTTCTGTTTAGGCTGGGCCTGAGGATCGTCAAACAGGCCTGGCCCCTCTCACAGGACAGGATCGCCTTCTGTCAACACTAAGATCGACGCACAACCTTACACCTGTGTTGGCGCATATGGCGGCAGCCACTAAAAGTTTAGGGTTTAGGGTTTAGGGTTTAGGGTTTAGGGTTTAGGGTTTAGGGTTTAGGGTCCGCCAACACAGTGTGGTGGCGCCCTAGGCAAATGTCGAGAGCGAGTAGCGGAGACCTCAAAGCTTCGAAAGTTTTTCTATATAGGGGAATCCCTGCGCTGTAATCCGAAAAGGTCGAGCTAAATCACCCCTAAACTTGATTGAGTAAGCACGTCGAGTGAGAGACCGAGCACGACGTTCTAAACAGGTCGAACGCAGTTCGACAAAACGTTCTGAGCGTGAGCGAAAAGACATAACTCGACTAAGATGCTCGACCAAACGAGCAAGAGTTATGAACCACTTCAAGCTTGATCTAGGCAAGATTGAAATTGAACTCGATCAGATCAACCAAGTTGAACAACTCGAGCGGTTAAAAGGGAGATCGAACAAGATCATGCTCGCCTAACGAACGCGAAAGACAAGCTCGAACATCAAAAAGATGAGCTCGATCGACTTCGCGATAATTTAGATTAACATTTTAGCTTCAGATAAACCAACCTGAGCGAATGTAGACCGAACAAAACATGCTCGGAGTGCGGATATGAAAAGGCTAAGAGAAACGACCAAAATAGTCATTTTCGTTGACCAAAGGACTCGACGCGACTTAGCGAGGCCTTTAAACGCAAGCAAAAAATGGCTCAAGCTGGATTGAGATAATTGCTCAGGCAAAGGCTTATGCAAACGCGTAGCCGAAAATCAGCAAAATTCCGAGACGTAGTCACTCTCGACAACTCAAACCGAGACCTGAGCTCACAAGGTTAGGTTCGAATATCGTGCCCAGTTAGTTCTAGAAGCTTCACGGAAATGGGGAAGACCTAAGCCCCAGAACTATCGAACATCACGCGACTCGCGCCTCGCGCCTGGCAACTCGGAGCACTCCGCGGTACATTTCCCCCCCCCCCCCCTCCCCCCCCCCCCCCCCCTCCCCCCCCCCCCCCCCCCCCCCCCCCCCCCCCCCCCCCCCCCCCCCCCCCCCCCCCCCCCCCCCCCCCCCCCCCACCCCCCCCCCCCCCCCCCCCCCCCCCCCCCCCCCCCCCCCCCCCCCCCCCCCCCCCCCCCGGGCGGCCTCGCGCGCGCGTCTCCGACTAGACCTGAGTCCCGCGACTGCAAGACAACAAACACGCGAGCAAAGCGTGAATCATGTCCCCCGCCTCGGCAAAGCGGACTGCTCTAAAGGCCTCGGCCCGTCAGGACAAGAGCGTCATCGCAACGCTAGCGCGCTCCCCGCGCCTTGGCGACATCTCGAAAACATAGCGCGGGCCCAACGCGGCCCCACGCATTTTGAAGCTGATGAGCTAGCAGGTCAATGAGCCGCGCAATGCTGGGAATGTCGCATTCAAATTGCTGCGCCGCGCGCCAACAAGGCAAGACCCAATCGCGCATTTGCTTTTTGCCGCCTTCATTTAAAATCGCTCTCCAAGATCTACCCTAGCGGCACTTCGGGCAGAATCGTTTGCGGATCTGTTCTTCCGCCGAATTCTCGCTCCATTTCCTCTTGCATCTGAGACAAGTACGTTCGCCCCGTTTGCGATCTGCCGCGCGGTTGGGGCAGCGTTGGTTGATGTAGACGGCAGAAGACGTGGGCAGAAAAGCCGCGCAGCCTCGGCACTTCTCCCATCCGGCCCGGAGCCGACGAGCCTTGCCGCGCACCGCGTCCTGGCAACTTTGACACGCGGCCGCCCACGGCAGCGTCAACGCAGATAGGTGGAACTCCTTCAGCGGCTTCACCTCTGCGCATTGCGAGCAAGTCAACTCCGAGACGTTCTTCAAACACGCGATGCAATTTCGCCTTTCTTCTGCACGAGGCTGCCGAAGTTGAGCTCGGGGAAACGCGTGCTCCACTTTCTCGAAGCCGCAGCCAATGCAGCGCAGCCGCTCAACATTGGAAGGCAGTTTGCGCTTGCAGGCGCCTCCATCCTTATGAATGCAAGTCAGACAAGTGGCAGGCAGGTTGGCTCTGGCTTTGTCCCACTGGGCGTCCGCGAAGTAGTCGAAAGGCTTAACCACTTTGCATTGTTGGCACGGCGCGCGGGGCGCGCGGGCCTCGCGGTAGTTGACCCAATCAATCTTTTCACCTCGGAGAGTCTTCAGCAGCAACTCTGGCCCCTCTGGCGCACCCCGCTGGAAGAGCCAGAGCGGGAACGGCCGCAAAATGAGGATATCTTCACGGCTCCTGCAAGCAACAGACGCGACGAATCTGAGTCGACCGCCGAGCGCGCAAAAGTTTTTACTCCGCTCCCTAAAAAAAAAAAAAAAGGCCTCACGCGGCTGCCGGCCACGGTTCCGAAGGTGATGTCCGTCCACCTGTCCACGTTGAAGTCGGCCATGGCCGCCGGCAAGGTCTTACCCTGACTCCCGTGGGCAGTGACGGCGTAGGCCGGCACTAGCGGGATCTGAGTTCGGGAGATCCTCAGCACGGGCTTGGGCCTGCCGCCGTCCAGGAACCAGACCTTGGTTTGCCGCGTGACCGGATAGAGGCCCGGCTCCGGCGCGCCTTCGAGCTGCCACTCCGCGCCTTGAAACTTCACATAGACGTGGGTAGGCTGCCGCGCGCCAGGAGGCCAGCGCCAGGAATGCACGAACCCCGTCGCGCCGCGTAGAAGGAGCTTGTCTTCAGACCTGTCCAAGTGCTCTGTCAGCGCCACCTTCATGCCCACGGCAAGCGGTAGCGTTCCACACAGGTTTCCAGTGTCCCTGTCATGGTATTGCAGCCAACGGACCCTCGCCGCCTTGTCGCAGGCCTGAGCGCCGGGCGCAATACTTCCTCGAAACTGGATTAAAGTTCTACACAAGCACGTTTATTTTAAAAAGTTTTTTTTTGCCTTCTTCCTGCCTGAGTCTGCAAGAGCGCCAAGCCCGGCCTGTCAGCGGCGGCGGCCCACCGCAGCGGCGCGCCCGACTCCTTCGAATAGCGCCGCGCGCGGTCTTTGTTGATCTGAAACTTGGCGTCGTTGTTCGCGACGATGACTGGCGCCTGCTTGAACTTGGCTTCCTGGAGCCGCGGGTCGATGTGGCCCGCGACGACTCGTCGTCGAGACGCCCGTTCTTCGTCGGACAGGGCGCAGCCTTCCACCGGGAGCCCATGGAGATATTTCCAGTTGCGCTCCGAGAGGTGCCCGGCTCGTAGCTCGTCCACAACTGCATTCCACCAGCCGTCCTTGCATCTCTCCCGCTCCTCCAACTCGGTGACGCCTTGGACGGCGCCGCCCCAGAACAGCTCCCTGCCATAGTCCGCCAAGGGGTCCGGGGCCGTCAAGTCGTCGGGCGCTCGCGGGCGCCGATTGTAGGGGACGTCGCCCAAGTACGCCCCGCTAGGCGGAGGCAGTTGTTAGAAATCCCCGGTGAAGAGCACGTTGATGCCCGCGAAGGGTCGGGAGGAGTTGGCGGAGGGGTCGAGCTTCCAAGCCGCCACGTCTGGCACCGCGCTGCGCAGGCGCTGATCCACTTGCGCCAGGAGCCGGGCGTTCACCATGCTGACTTCGTCGATGATGAGCCAGCGCCAGAGCCCCATCCGCTTCGCCACCTCCTTGCTGACGGCGCGGTCGACGGCCTTCCAGTCGGCGCTCAAACCACAGACGTTGTGGATCGTCTTGCCCTTGATGTCCGCGGCGTTCACAGCCTGGAAGGCGGCGACCTCGTAGTCGATGCCTTGGACGTAGCCGAGCTGCTCTTCGAAGAGTTCCCTCAAGTACTTCAGGACGTGAGACTTTCCCGCGCCCGGAGGCCCGTGTAATAGCCACACCAAGGGCTCGCCGCTTTGGCGACTCGACTCTTCCGGCGCGAGCAGGCCACACTCGATCAGAACCCGCTCCACGACTAGCGCCAAGATTTCTTGCTGCTTGGCGTTTAGGTTGGGCCGCTTGGCTTCCAGCCACCCGAGCAGGCCGGCCTTTGTCACGAGCGGGCGGACCGCGCTCACTCCGGGGCCCTCCTTTGCATTGGCGCCTCCTTTGCTGGCTTTCTCGCGGGAGGCCTTGGCCGCCTCCTCGAGCTCGTCGTGGTCTTCCACGGCCTGCTTGGCCGCCATATCGGCATAGTGTTGGGCGAAGCTTGGGTCGCCCTCGCCGGACGCGGCCGCCCCGCCCCAGACTTCCTTGGACAGCTGGAACATCTGCTCCGTGCGGGCGATCCGCTGCGCCTTGGCGGTCGCGTCTTCTGGCGTCTCTGCCTCGGCGTCTTCTTCCTCTTCTCCCCCAGCTTCGCCCGGCTGCGCGGCGCCTTTGATGCGCGTGGCCTGCGCCGCCAGGAGGTCTTCCTCCTCCAGCTCCATCGGCTCGTCTTCGAACTCGTTGTCGCTGTTTTCCTGCGGCGCGCGCCCTCTTGCTTTTATTTTTTAGACGCTGAAACATTTGACTCATCCAACATCCAGTGCGACGCTCGACCCGAACATTCGACGAGCCACGCCTCCAGCTTGTCGCAGGCCGTAGACGAAGCAGAAGTTTTGAGCAAACTGCTTGACCTCCTCGGTCGGGAACCCGTCTCGCAGCAGGCGGAATCGCAGCGCGTGTCTCCAGGTCTTGACGCCCGGGGCCTTGAAGCTGCTCAAATAGGGCACGCGAGAGGTAGCTTCTGAAGGATCGTTTGTCCATGGAAAGAACAGCAGGAGCACCTTCTTGGCAGTATCCTCGTCGCAGCGGCTGCCTAAGGCGCCTTGAACCACAGGGACGTTGGGCCGGCGCCGTAGGACTGCTACCCAATCGTGCCTGCGGGGCAAACGCGGTCGCTTTGTTTCGAGATCGATGAACTAAAAAATCTTAAGTTGTCCGCGCCTGAAGGTTTGCCCCAGAGCGCCGTCGCTCAGCGCGACCCAGTCTTCGCCGCCGAGATCCTTGACGCGATAGTGCGTCCCGGGCAGTAGCGCGGCGCGGCGGAGACGCGCGAATATCTTCTGGCCCTCGTCTGTCAAGTAAGCGTGGAACTCGGCTCCGCAATTGCGCCCCTCGTCGCCCTCCTCCTCTTCCTCTTCGCCTTCGCAGCCTAAGTCCGCGACCTTGCGAGGATGTCTGGCTACGGCGCACTGGAAGTGGCGAGCAAATTCGAAGGCAGATAATTCGAAGACTCGAGGATCTTTTCCGCGCGATCCGTAGAAGGTCCAAAAGGCCGGCCTGGAGACAGTCTGACGCAGCCCAAAGTCGCGCTTATCCGGCTGCTGGCGCCGCGGCTCCACGGGCCACGGCTCACCGGTTTCCGCGGCTTCCATCAGCCGCAATCCAAACGACAGCGAAATATCCGTCACGGGGGCCGTCTTAATCGTTTCCGCAGAGGTCGGGTCGTTCTTGCCAGAGTTGACGATCAGGTTGCAGCATTCCACGGCGCCGCGGCAGACCCCCCTGCAGGGACCGAACCGAGGGAGCGGTCGATTTTACGAAAGAACCAGCCAAGACGACGCGCGCAAACTAGCGTGCCTGGAGTAAATATCCGTGATCAGCCTCTTGTTGCTTCGAGCCGCGAGGTAGCCGACCGGCTTGTCTTCCAGATCCGCCGCTAAGTCCCGCTGCCCCCGCTGCCACTCTTGGATCTCGGCCCGGGCGATCGCCAGTCGCTTGTTCATGTAGTCGCAGGCATTTCCAGCTTGCGCCGCCTGCGCGATAAGGATTTGTTCTAAATTGACTCAGGCGTTTTCTTTTTCAACTTTTTCGACTCTATCAACGACTCAACGATAAGAGCGACACTCACTCGGTCCTGCGTCAGCTGCGCCTCTCTGATCAGCAAGCGAATGGCTTGCCTGCCCGCGCAGTTCTCCTCGCAAAGCGAGTCGCTGTGCGTCTCGGTAGTGATCGGGAAACGGTAGGGTAGCTGCAGGTCTCCGTTGCATCTCAGCGCCGCGAGGAACGCGGGGTGGTTCCCGTTGAGGTTCGGCTCGTTGACCGGGCCCCAGCAGACCCCGAGCAAGCTCCGCTTGCCTTTGACAGGTAGCTCAAATTTCTGGCCGAGACCGGGGCACGCCAAGACTGTCCCATCCACTAGAGCCTTGTCTCTGGGGAAGCCGCTCTTGCATTTGGACGGGTCCCGGGCGTCCTGGCAGTGGGCCAAGGGCTGTCGCTGCCCGTCTGGGCCGGGCAGGTGGACGTGATGCTGCTTGCGCTGCTGTAGCTCCTCTACATCCACCTCCAGGAAACGGGCTTTCCAGTCGGCCGGGCTCATCGAAGCGTCGGTCTGATACGCCGGCCGGCTCAGCATCAAACTGCTATCTTTATATTCCGGCCAATCGGCTTCCACGGTCTCGCGCAGCCCTTCTTGCCATAGGTCAGGTCGACAATAGACGCTGCGCCTGTAGCGGAAGGGAACTAGACAAGACCCGCGCGCCCCTCCCCTCCCGAGCGACGACGAACCCGGCCTCGCATGGGCAGAGTAGCTCGCGTACTTCTGGAACAGTCGTCTCACGCCGCCCTCTTCTTCCAGCTTCATCAGTTGCGACAGGGGCGTATGTTGGTGGAAGCACTGCACAAAGACTTGGAAGTGGCCATGTAGGGAGCCGGCCTTTTGACACTCGATCGAGCCGTACACGGCGTCGACCCGACCCAGCACGCCGCCCGTCGCCGTAGCGTCGCTGCCAAACGCGTCAGCGCAGGGCGAGTCGGAAGCCGCGCAGTCTGGACAGCGCGGGCAGAACCGGACTCCAAGGAGGTGCCGCAGCGCCAGAAGCACCAGAACTCTGAAGCCTTCTGCGCAGGCCGTCGTAGTCGGGAAGCTCCTCCAAGAGCGCCTCGGGCGAGAGTCTACAGAACTCCTCGTCTAGCTTGGGCGAGCTCCAAGATTGGAAGCTTCTGTCTCTGTCGCTTTGCAAGGAGGGGTCGCTTTGCCGGACCCGGGCCAGGCGGAGCATCAGCGCGGTATCGCGCTCCGAGGGGGAGAACGTTAGGAAGACGGAGAGCCCGTAACAGACGCGGTTGGCATGTGTTTGCAAACGCATAGTAGTCCGCACCTCTTGGGTGCCAGGGATCCTCCGCGTCCTGGCCTCCAAGTTGTCGAGCACTTTCACTGCTTCGCGCGAGAGACTGGGCACGCAGTCGCGTTTTGGCCAAGTCGCCCTTGACGGCCTTCAGCTCGCCGGAGACGTCCGCGTATTTGCTGTCCAGCGCCCGCAGCAGGTCACTCGCGCCTTTGAGGACTTCCTTGCCAGTCATCGGTCGGCGCCTTTCAGGATTTGACTCGTCTGGGATCGAGTACATGTAGACGTTTTTCTGTAGGTTGACTGCTGTTCGGAAGATGTAGTTCCATATGGAGTAGCCGAAGTTCCAGCCCCGGCGAAACTGGGACTCCACACGGCGCTGCATAGCCGCGGCCCACGCGTGGATATCGACCTACGCCGACAGCTCTCTAAAGGGTCGAACCGAATTAAAAGAACGCACGAAGCGAAACGTAGAATCAAGACCCCGCCTGCGGAGCCCCAGGCGCCCGTCGACTGTCGCGAGCCTCCCCCTTCACTTCATTCTTCACGTCGGGGCGGGCTGTCCCGAACTTAAAGCAGAAGCAGAACGCCACCGCGAAATAAAGAGGCTGAAATTGGTCCACCAACTGGTTGCCCGTTCTCACCTCCAAGGACCGCAGCGCTTTCTCTGCGTCCGAAGTCAGCTCGTCTTGTAGCCGCCGCATCGCGGCGATCTGCGTCTGGTTGAGATCCAGCGCTTGCTCGCCTTCTGCCACGACCCCCCGCGGCCGCGGGGCGGCGAAGATTCTTCCCGCCTCAACCGCGTCACTGCGGCCATCCACTGGGGTCGCCGCCTTCTGCGGCAGCAGCTTGTCGTTGATCTTCTCCGAGCCATCCAGCAGAGTGACCACGCGTAAGACTTCTGGCGGCACCCCGTCCTCGGGCAAGGCCGCCGCCCGGGCCCGGACGGCGTCCTCATCGGCTCCAATGAAAGACGGGTGGCCCAGGCGCTTCATGTCCAGGATGAGGTTGACCGCTACCTCTCGTCTGACGTTGGCCTGGTGGATCAAGGTCTTAATTTCCGCCTCTGAGGTTTGGCCGTGTTGGTTGGTCTTCAAGAGCACGCGGACCACCTCACTCAGCTGCACTCCAGCTCGCGGCAATGCCGCCGCCTCTTCTCCCACGCTCTGGAGCTCGCGCATCAAGTCTTCCCAAGGCAGTGGAAAAGTGAGCGGATTGCCGCGGAAGCCGTACTTAAAGGGGCGCGCGTCTTAGTATGTTTTTGGCTTAGTTGCTGACGATAGCAAGTTTTGTAAGGTCAGTTGCATCTTGGCTAACACTAGGTTATACATCAAGTATGTAGCGCATTATCGCTAAGGAATTTGGAGGGTACATATAAATTGCGAGGTCAACATAATAAGTTTTGCACGTATTTACATGTAGTTGGGTGACTTGCAAGTAACATAGCATGTCAATTTGATGCATGTGTAACTTGGTTGGCCTGAGTTGGGCAAATCAAATAACTCAGTTACAAATCCGTTTTGCGACGTGTGTCGCCTTGGGTTTTTTGTTTTTCACCGATTTCATTTTTTGGTTTGAAACCACCAAAGCTGCGAGCGCGCACACTTCGCATTGGTCCGCCACGTCCGTGTCGACACGTTTTTTTCTGAAGTCACATGCATGAGTCGGAAGCCTTGAGCATGGCAATATATATTGCATGTGGGACACGTGCAGCCATTTGGCGAAATCGGTGCAGCCAGAAGAGTTGAAGAGGCCTTTCATTTCAGTTGCGTTGCTGGGTTCGGGTTGGGCAGCTGTAGCCAGGGATGACGCACTTTTCTTGAAGTGCTTCAATCCTGCAGAGGCGCTTCCGCTCAATGCACTTTTGCTCGCGGGCATGTTCTGCTGCACGCAGCAGTCTCCTGCAGGGTGCTTGCAGTGTTGTGCATGTGCATGTTTGTCAGCTTTTGCCGAACCTCAAGCAGTTTTTCTGAAATATGTCCATGTCGCCTGAGCTGAAGGAGGAGCTCACTCGCCTTTGTGAGGCTGGCGACTCCGGGGAGAAGCTGGTCTGCGTCGCCCAGCAGATCATGCAGCTGCTTCGGCAGAATGGGTTGGCGCACTCGGCCACCATACCGGCCAAGAGGATCGGTGTCCACCACCGAAACCGGGAAGGGTATGGGATCAACGTGGTGGACGTGCAAGATCTGATGCACGGAATGCTCTCCGTCGGCTTTTGCTTCTCCCGCGTCCAGGCTATATGCGTGGAGTTGCCTGGGGCCGTCGTGCAGCAGTGCCAGGACTTCAATGGAAGGTTGCTGAGCACTGCAGGGGGAGCCCTTGGCCATCAGGATAACACGGCCATCAAGCATGCGTCAATTGCAGGGTCTCACACGAATTTTGTGTTGAGACTGTTCCTTGATGGGGTCCCGTCTGGCCACCCAGACGTGTCTGTGGAGGGCGCTTTGTGTTTGGAGCGGTTGAAAATGAAAGACCCCAGCCTTCACAAAGCCTGCGTGGAGGGTCTTCGTTGGGAGGTGATCCAGGCGGTCGTCGCAGAGCAGGTGCCCAAGACCATCGAAGTGATCCAGCGGGCAGGTAACACCACCTTGCACCGCCCAGAGCACGAGTTGCAGTGTATGCTCCGCATGCATTCCCTGTGGCGGGCCAAGCGCGCAGCTGGCCTGACAGCAGACTACGCTGCCATTCGGAAGCAAGCGCTTGCAAGCCAACCGCAGTGCAGCTCCAGTATGCCATCAATGTTCGTGTTTTTGCTGAGGCACTGCGGCGGAGAAGAGGCGCCCCTCCTTGAGGAGACGCAGAGATTTGTTCGGAGCAACAGCCCCAGCAACAGGTGCCTGCCCGCTCCTGTGTGGGCGCAGCTCAGCCATGACGTCAAAGGGTCTGTGCAGCAGTTCTCTCGGTTCCGGCACGGCCTCCTCAAATGCGCGTATGTGCGTCAGAACATCACGGAGACCACCGCACGCGCCATGTCTGCCAAGACCAACCGGCCATCCCTTGCGGCTGCTGAGGACATCATGTGCGAGATGTCCAGGATGGCGCTTGGGCTCAGTGAGGAGGTCCGGAGCAGGCATGCGTTGGTCACTGCCACCAGCCTCACAGAGATGGCCATGTGCAGCTTTGTCCTGGGCTTGCGCCACGCGCAGGGCGAAAAGCAATGGAAGAGTTTGCAGGCCATCGCCCATGACTGGGTCCAAGTGGTTCGAATTGTGACCGGCAAGGACCTTGCGTCTCCGTGGAAGGAGTTCGCTCAGGGCGACGATGCTGCCAGTTCCGGCAACAACCCCACAAAGCCAATTTTGAGCCATGTCTGCATGGAACATCCGCTACACAATTGTTACGTTGATGGTCAAAATGTTTACAACCCTGCGCATGTTCCCTGCACCGCTATGCATATGCATGCTTTCAGGATGCGCGAGCTGAACGCTGACGGCAGCCTTAAGGAGCCTGCAGTGTTGTTGCAGGAGATGGGCTTCGAAGCTGGCGCGCACGTCAGGCGCAGGGCTACGAAGGAGGAGGGGGTTCTGGACGACATCAAGGGTGGCATGGTCAGGGTTGACATGGGCGGCGGCATCCTGGCAAAGGTTGCCATTGAAGAGTTCTTGCAGGGAGGTTGGGTGATTTTCTCTCCCAAAGCTGGCCCAGTCTACTTGCATGATCCTACCATAGCACCCCCCAGTTCCAACGACGAATACAAGGCCCAGCACTTGCTTGCAACCATTGTCTGTCAAGTCCACGACATGGGCTCTGAGCTTGAGTTGCAGAACTGGGACTTGTTGCAAATCCAGACAAAGCCCAACAAGACCGTCAGCGCCAAGGACAAGATTTCGCGAGGCAAGCTCGTGCTGGTGCCGTGCTCTTGCAAAGTAGTTTGTTTGCCAAAGGCCAAGAGCAAAAAGGGGCCAGGCTTCGAGGTGTTGACTTCCTCGCCCACCCACACCTTCTGGATCACGCCCATGGTGCAGTTGCCGTCTGAGGATGGCAAGGGCCAGCAACCCTTTGTGCACCCAGTCTGGTTCTTGCAAGCCTCCTCTGACGAGCAGGATGTGAATATGCAGCTCCACTATGTCAGCTGCAAGTCTGACAAGACCATCCGCATCCCCATCCTGAAGAACACCAAGGACTTGCAGGCTGGCGACATGCTGCTCTACTTGAAGTCCAAAGAGGAAAAGGCAGTGCCCCTTCTTGCCACTTCCCCGCAGAAGCGATCTGCAGAGGAAGCTTCTCCGAAGAAGAAGGCCAAGGCCAAAGCCAAAACAGGCTCCAAGTGAAAAAAATAGCTTCGCATGTGTGTGGCGAGAACGGAACCAGGTCGTTGCTCGAAGAAAACATGCCGGTTTTTGTGGTATATGTCATGCTGCACGACTGATGTCCAGTGCGCATTCATGCATGATTGATGTCTTTGTGCAGGGCACGCATTGCTCGCTTGCAGGCGTTTGGTAGATCATCCTATATTAGGGCTTGACTCGCCACTCATTTCACGGCCTTTCTCTTCCATGATGTCTGTGACCGTTGTCAAGCAAATGGTTGTCCAGTGGGGCATAAAGGAGACATGGGTGCCTCATCAGAAAGATGTCGACGGTGTCACTTACATCTGCCTGGAGAAATGGAACCGCCAGCTCGTCAAGTTCATGTATGGTCGCGCCCTAGATCTGCGGAAGGACCGCGACACCAAGGATCTGAATGTCGAGATGTGGACCGAGCTCGTTGGTCTCCGGCAGAAAACCTGTGACGACATGGTAGCCCTCGCTCATGATGACACGGAAGGAGAGCGCCAGAAGAAGCGGCGCCGCGTCAGGTGCACTGCGGAGAACACCGCACTTCTTCCGCCCGCAGTGCAGATTGTGGTTCCGGCCACCGGTGCACGCGAGGCAAGGTCTATGCAAGTGCTTGTCGAAGGGGTGGGTACCCAGACTATTTGGTTGGAGCTCACGGCTGGGAACCTTGCATACCTCCAAGGGGCTTTTGCGGCTTCATCATCCAAGCCGCGAGCGAAGGCCAAGGCCAAAGCGTCTGCGTAGGCCCATTTTTTGGAATTTGGCAGGAGAAAACGTCAATGTTTGCATTTGTTTTTGTCCAAACATGCGCAACAGCACAACCCATGCATGCTGTCCTGATCTGGTTGCTTGCATGATGCATCCATGGCTCCCGGGGGCGTGGGCGAGGGGGGTTGGCCAGCGGGCTTTAGCGAGGCCCGGCTTCTTTTCATGCAGTATATTGCCTTTCCATGCGCCTATACATATCCGACCTGGGCAGGCCTGATGAGGGGCCATCATCGCAGGCCTTTGCCGAAGCAGCACGGAGATCCAACATGGAGGAGAGTCATGTCATGCCTGCCATTCCGGATCCACGCTGTCAGTGTTTGCAGGACTTGGTGCATTCGCTGGCACTTCGCTGGAGATCCCGGCTCCGTCCATGCCTCAGCAGGGCATGTTTGCTCGCTGTGTTCAGTCTCGCTCAGGCCGATGAGGAGGAGTTGTTCATGAAGGCCAACCTCAAGGAGTTCATGCCGCAGGCTTTTGTTTCGTGCTGGCATGCCCGTTGTCATTGCAAATTCGCGCAGGGGTGCAGTGCGCCGTTCTACTGCAATAGCGTGGCATCATGCAGCTTCTGGGACAACCGCGCCGAGCCACGCTGGTGCGGTTGGCGCATCGTGTGCCAAGGACGCCCTTTCAGGAGTTTCCAGTCTTTGTGGATTTGCAAGCCTCGCCTGCAGGAGAGACTCTTTTCCGGAGCCATGGCCGAAGGCCAACGCCTCCCACAAATGGCCAGCCTCTCAATCTTTCCTTGATTTTGGGCGCTCACACGCCAACGCTCAGGCTGGCAGCACATGCTGGAGGGCACATGGGTCCCAAGCGCTCTTCGCTGTGAGCGGATGAAGAAGGAGGAGCTGGTGCAGGAGGAGCTGTTGCTTTTCAGAGTGCACGCGTGCAAGCATGCACTGCGTGCCTTGCAAGTTGACAGGACCTCATGAGGAAGCGGAAGGCAAGCAAGGCCTGTAAAGCTTGTGCGTGTCCGGCAGTTCGTTCTGCATTGCTCTGGCAGGACCCACCAAGGCCTTGGAGCAGATACAAGCGCAAGGCCACTCGCTCGCTCGCTCGCTCGCTCACTCACGCACTCACTCGCTGCCAGGGTCGGTTGGGCGCTGAGCACGAGGCTGCTCGTGGTTCGGCCTGGGGCTTGTGTGGGTGGCCTCTCACTGCCACTTGTTTTTCCGTTGCAAAAATCATGTTGCGATTGATTGCTAGATGTCCTCTCGCCAGGAACAGGGCGCATCCGCCGCTGCCGCATCGCTCAAGGAGGCAAGGCTTCGTTCCGTGGACCCAAAAGGGGGGGGAGTTCCTGGTCCCTCCCACTCATGTGAGACCCAAAAGGGGGGGGGTTCCTGGTCCCCCCCACTCATGTGGGACCCAAAAGAGAGGGGGGTTCCTGGTCCAGCGGGCAGGGCAGACGTTGTCGCCCGCAGTTGCCACTTGTGTCAACGCAGGCTCAGCAAGAGTGGGAAGAGGCGTGGCTTAGATGGAGTGCGCTCGTCCATGCATGCGGGCAGGGCACATGTTGCTTGCACCTTTCATCTCATTGCGTATCAGGAGGAGCAGCAGGAGTGGGAAGAGGAAGAGGCGTGGCTTAGGTGGAGATGCACGGGCAGGGCACGTTGCTCGCCCGCGGTCGCCACTTTTCATCTCATTGCGTATCAGGAGCAGCAGCAGGACTGGGAAGAGGAAGAGGCGTGGCTTAGGTGGAGTGCACTCGTCCATGCACGGGCAGGGCACGTTGCTCGCCCGCGGTCAGGTGCAGTGTCCATGTGGGCAGGACCTGTTTGTCGCTTGCAGGTTGCCATCAAGGAGCCTATGACGCCCGACGAGGAAGAGGCGACGCTCAGGTGCAGTGTCCATGTGGGCAGGCCTGTTGTCGCTTGCAGGTTGCCATCAAGGAGCCTATGACGCCCGACGAGGAGGGGACGGAGGACGGAAGCACACCTTGAGGAGGGGTGCGTCGTTGCCAATAATTCCCCCCTTGCGTGCAGGAGGAATGGTGGCCCCCGGCACCGCCACCACCGGCACCGCCACCGCCACCGCCGCCAACCCCCCCCCCATGCGCGGGCCCAGCGGTGCTGACGCACAAAGCGCCCTGGGCCGGAAGAAGAGGCCTGTGACTGGAGTTGTCGTGATTTGAACTTGTAGTTCGCTGTGGCAGGGGAGGTCGTTCTCGCCCCGAACTTCCTCGTTCCGGACACCAAGGGCCACGGCATGTATGTCCGGCCGCACTTCATCGACACGGAGGGGAACGTGTGGGCGTACAGGACTTAGTGCGTTGCTCACTCACTCACTCACTCACTCACTCACTCACTCACTCACTCACTCACTCACTCACTCACTCACTCACTCACTCACTCACTCACTCACTCACTCACTCTCACTCACTCACTCACTAACTCACTCACTCACTCACTCACTCACTCACTCACTCACTCACTCACTCACTCACTCACTCACTCACTCACTCACTCACTCACTCACTCACTCACTCACTCACTCACTCACTCACTCACTCACTCACTCACTCACTCACTCTCTCACTCACTCACTCACTCACTCACTCACTCACTCACTCACTCACTCACTCACTCACTCACTCACTCACTCACTCACTCACTCACTCACTCACTCACTCACTCACTCACTCACTGCGCCAAACGCATGGTCGCTCAGACCTGGCTCCGGGAGACTTCGAGCCCGAACGCGCGGCGGGCAGCAGCGAAGGTGTCAGCCTCGTGTATTGTTTGCGTCTGACAAAGGCGAGTTCTCGCAATCCAAGGCGGCAGTGACCAGGTGGTGGCTTTGGCTGACAAGCCCAGGCCGGGTTTTGCTTTTTGTCAGTCCTCGCATTCCTGACCCCCTGTTTTTCTCACATCACACGTGCGCAGGCGCGACGCTCCTGAGCTGAGCTGAGAGGCCTTAGCGAGGCGACGAAAAGCGTTTGAGGGTCCACCAAGATAGTCTTACGTTCTTAGGGTTTGGGATGAAGGTGTTTGCGTAGTCTTGCAGCTGAGTTGTTCAAGCAAAGATAGTCTTAAATTCTTAGGGTTTGGGATGAAGAAGTTTGCATCGTGCTGCAACTGAATTTCAAGAAAATATAGTCTTAAATTCTTAGGGTTTGGGATGAAGAAGTTTGCATCGTGCTGCAACTGAATTTCAAGAGAATTTGGGCCCCTAATTTTGGGGACAAAAACAACAACCCAAATTTGGGCTATATAGTCTTAAATTCTTAGGGTTTGGGATGAAGAAGTTTGCATCGTGCTGCAACTGAATTTCAAGAAAATATAGTCTTAAATTCTTAGGGTTTGGGATGAATGTGTTTGAAGTTCTGATATTCATTGGCAGTGCCACGGGCACGCCTTGTTGAAGGTTTGTTGGATGCATGGTTGTACCTTGGGGTGGCTGATTGTGTTTCGAAGATCATGAGTTCGAAGATCTAGGTTCTGATTGGGCGTCGCCTCGCCTACAGGAGAGGCCTCTGCATGAATTGCTGGGCACGCGCATGGATTTGTTTCATATAAATCATGGACCCTTTCAGGGTGAAGTGTTTTAGATTGATAAATCGAGTGTCCACGTTTGCGTCGAAATTTATCAATTGATAAATCCGTTGTCCATTTTTGCACCGCGATTTATCAATTGATAAATCTGGTGCCCATTTTGCAATGAAATTTATCAATTGATAAATCTGGTGCCCATGTAGGTACCCCAAATTTATCAATTGATAAATTTGGGGTCCAGTAGAGCTCGTAGAATTTATCAATTGATAAATCTGACGCATTCTAGGTATCGCCTGATGTTGTATGATTCACAAACTGGGAGCACCAAAGACCATATGTTGAATTGCGATTGCCACACGTATGGGCCAAGAATATTATGCACAATCCCTGATTTGTTGCCTCAATAGTGGCTCAGTTCACATGTGAGTTTTGAGGTTTATCCACCAACAAATGGCATAATCATGAGTTCTCTCTGTGGGTTTGCCCGGCGTTGATGTAGGTTTTGGGCCGCAACGTTGGAAATCTACGAGCACGCGCATCCGGGATAGTGGCAGCTACCAACAACACACATTCCATACACATCACACACATCACACACACATCACACACATAAGAAAACACAATCACATCAAACAACAGCAATCAAAACACCACTAGCCCAGCTGTGTGTGTAGCGGGTTTGCGCTTGTGCGTGCAGCTTGAGCGCAAAAAAGTGTGCTTGCGTTTCTTGCTGGA